AATATATGTTTATCAAATAAAGTCTACTGTTACAACTAATCAGGGATCCCTTTAAACTGAAGTAAAGACAGATTAGCTTCTGAATCCACAGGTCAGTGGGATTAAAGATTAAATTTGATGATTTAGGGTGAACTCTGGCTCAAACAGTAAGAAGTAAATAATCTCGAAACAAGTAATTTCATTTGTCAACCCACCCTGAGACACAGCTAAATAATGAACGATTTCTGTTTGAAGCATTCAAACCTTCTGATGATATTTCTTATCATGCGAGCTTCATAATGAATCTTTGAGGAATTGATTTCAATTGAAATGATTTTGCTGCACAAAGACTTGATTTGAAGTAAAACCAGTTTAAAATGTGAGTCATAAAAACCTCCTGACTGACAGCTGAGCTGCATTTATGTTTAATGAATTAGTTGTTTGCATGTAAACATAGAGACAACCTTTTGACCTCCTGTCGTCTCTACAACCAGCTGGTGTCACTGCTGTGTCAGGGAACTAATGTACCATAAACACAAACCAATCTGAGATTTTTATTCTTTGCGAACTTGTAATTTCCCCCCAGCTGTTCATTTTAACTTTCATAAGTTGGTCTCAAAGTTGTTCCTCTTACACCGTTCAGAGATATTTGTGTAAACAAACCTGTGAGGCTTAGTTAGGTGCGTTTGCTGCGTTTTTTATTTTTTATTTTTTTTTACTTTAACAAGAACATTTAACTGGAAAATCTGCCCAGTGATCAAAGTTATTATCAGTTHATCTGATATTTGACATTTTGGTTTTATTTTGAAACCTTGAAGAGGTGTTTGTGTGATATTTGTTTCTTCTCATTCTGTAATGTGTTCAGTACCGATTTTCTCTGGATTAACTTCCGCATTAATCTATCCAAATTAAACAGAATAGATGTTTTTCCACACCATTATTTATTTATTTTTGTTCCCCATTTGAGTGCAGCTTGGTGCGTATGTCTGTGGTTTGGTGGTGAATGTGCACATGTTTGTGTCTTTTTGCAGCTACGCCCGCCTGCGCTRCATGTGTTCCTGCAACAGGTGCACTTATTGCCTGTGTCAGAACCTCCTGAAGTTGGAGCTGCTGCGCAGCGTAAAGGCCCAGCTCTGCAGGGTCGTTTACAACAGGTTCATGCACAGAACAAGCTCTAGTGTTGTAACATAGACTCCCTGCTCCTCCTCCTYCTCCTCTTCCTCTGTGTTTTTTATCCTGGGATTGGCCCACACACAGACATCTTTTCAACCCGAGCTGGGGTAACAGTGGTGACAGTGGYGGCTCCTTTTGCTTTCCTTCAGTTCTCACCAGCAGTTGAGTTCACGCTGCTTATCCACTGAACAGAAAAGGGAATAAAAGCAGTGAATATTTGATGTAAGTGTTAGTGCTCCTGACCTGCAGTGGATATGCAAACAGTAAACTCTGACTAACATTAACCAGTAACATGATTTACATACAAAATGAGAGAAACACAACCCAGTCTTGTTTGTGTTTCAGTCTCTCTGAAAACTTCATCCCTGTCTGCATGTTTGATTTGTTTGCAAACAGAAACATCTAAAAGGCTTTATGTCTGTTAAAATATTCTGACTCAGATTTCATGATTCACTTTWTGACGTTTTCAGTCTCATTTTGTCCTCACTCTCTGTGCTGAGGCGTAAACACACAGGAGAAGCTTTAGCTTTGTGTTTTTAAATCCTGTTCAAGTTATAATTTACATAAACTTTGTGTGTTCTCCTGTGGGTTTAAGCTTTTTTTAATTTGATGTGCAGCTTGTTTTATAATGTTTTTGATTAAAATACACAAATCATTCAGTCATTTTATCCTCTCATCAYGCTCATCTTTGTGTTTTTCCTTCCTTTGTGTGCGTGATCACACACGTTTCTGGCTGCCTATCCTCTTCCTCCTTCATGTCATCACACTGTCGTTGCGTCACTTGTTTCCTAATTCATACTAAAAAGGCTCGCCTTGTCAGGAAAACACTGCCCTCCTGTGGTGATGTGAAGGCTTTACACCAGAGGGAGTTTTTTTATTTTTTTATTTTTATTTTATTTTTTTACCACAGTGTGAAAGGTTTATATTTGAGTTGTGAGACTGGGAACAAATGTACGATATGTTTACAGAGAAACCCTGACAGATCCAGGTTGATGTTGTGTTGAACTCAGCTTATTGTTGTCTATGGGAGGTGTTGAACTAGTTAATAGTATGAGGGGCAGAGGAGGGATCTGACTGGGGGAGCGGTGGTGCAGAGGTTAGAGAAGGTGARCCTGTGATTGGAAGGTTGCATGTTTGAATCCTTGGATCGTTACAAAAAGAGAAGAGAAAAAAAAAGATGTGACGCGCCACATAATTATTTCTTATAGCTGAATTTGAAAGAAACTGAATTAGTCTGAACAGACTTTAGCTTCAAGTCAGAATAAGATCTGTTTTCAACAACGTTAATGTCAGTGTAATCACAATTAAATGTCAGAAGTTAAACCTCACAAATGTAGCGCCACAGATCAGTGTCCATATAAAAGCTTAAACTGCCTTAGTTTAATAGTTTACTAGGAAAATAAATAGTAACAATAATTTTAAGCTGATATTTTTACTAAAACACACCACACTTTAAATTTGTCACAAGTAAATATTTAGCTGTTCAGTCACTAAAAACAAATATAAAACATTAGCTCAGGCTGGATCCTTTATGTTAATGATTTTATTCTCCAACAGCTCATTTATTCTTCGTTAGCATCACTCAGCCTGCTGTGTGTGTTTGTGGTGGGACAGCGTGGTGATGTGGTCATCTTATATTTGTTTTTCTTCCTCTTTCGTTTGATTATCACTCCTTTATATTGATCAGAGTTTACTGTTGCTCACATTTCTTGCCAGCTTCAGAATGAACCCATTTCTTCAGTACTGCAAAGACGCCACAGGGGAAATTAATTAATAATTTTAGTTTGTTAAATAAGCACTTTTTTTTTTCTGCAACCAGTTATGCATTAAACACATATTTGTTGAGGGAAAAGAACAACTGTTCCATTTTTTTTCTCTATAATAAGAAATGCATTAGTTCTGATGTGAATACTTTAGTCTGTCAGGCAGCTTCACAGCTGTAAACCTGGCAGGGTGAGATAGACGGATGGCTAGATAGTGTTTATT